GAAACTGAAAAGTCTCCCTCCCCCTTTGTTCTCCCCCCTCTTCATCCATTTCCACAATCCACTTTTTCTCTGTCTTTGAGTGACACTCCCGGGTTTCCCCCCAGAATTCAAGAGGTTATCCAGTGAGTTAGCAGAGGTGCACTAGCGCCTGGCTAACCTCTGGCTGCCACAGATTAATCAAACACCAGTTAGAGGGGAGAGTGTAAAACACAGGGGCCATGTTGACTGATGGCTTTTTAAGGAGTGACGGGGGGGGAGGGGGAGGTGTGGGAGAAAAACACCGACAGACACAGATGAAGAAAAACTCAACTGATGAAGGTTTGAAACGCCTACCAATGATCGAGCAGAGCTGTGATCATGGAGCAACATAGCTGCTTCTGTCCTCTCCATCAGCCAATGAGAGAGTCTCGATCTAAGAGCCATCAATCACATCCTGCTGGTCACACGGTTCAAACATGGCGTTGATTTTGGAGTCCAGCCACCGTGGTCAGCAGATGAAAAAGTTTCCCTGCGTGCACATGTATGCACACATCACGCCGGCCGCGGCTCTCTAGCTCTCAGGAATTCATGAATAATATATACGAGTCCATAAATGCAGCCTGAACAATGGAAATATTATCCTCGGCTGCATAAACGCAGAGCCGACCACAGAGTATCCTCACAGGGAGCTCGTTCCTCTTATCTCTTGACGGCTCGTCAGCGAAGGCCGGCCGCGCTGCATGTGGAGACGCACACCGCTAACGAGGGGGAATCCCCCCCCCACCACCACCCCCCCCCCATCTCCCCACCTCCCTTCACCCAAGATTGATGTAGAACATTTACCCAGCAGACATTCCTCCAGGCCCAAATGAAAGAGGTGCCTGGTTCACCGGCATTCCTGATTGGCCACACATTCCTTCGGCATTCTGACAACAGTGTGATTGCTGGCAGGGCGCCGAAGCTTCAGGAGGTAAACATCGACCACTTTTCTATTTATCTACTTTCTAAACTGTCTGCGAGGTTCCACCTGGAAGAGAAAGTACGATCAGAGAAGAGAAGACGTTTATATCAGGACCAATGAAAGGGCCTTAAACCAGGGCGTGGTTTAACGTGTAACTTATCAAAGAGGGGACAATGAAAGGTGAACTGGTTTGCAGATTTCTCTTTGGTTAAAGGAAAACTTAAGACATAAAGCTGATTTGTATTGACGAGCTGTCGACTCAAATCTCAACACTCAGAGGCTCGTCAATGAACGGCTCGCAGTGAGCCGAACAAAGTTTTTTTCCGGTTTTGATACAGGTCAGAGGTCAACATTTCAATCATGATGTGGATATTGTTAATGCACCACTATCTCCACTTTGTAAGACAAGCTAACGAGCTAACGAGCTAACAAGCTCTGCTGTCTGAGGAGAGAGCCTCCTCCCTTCTCCTTCCTCCTTCCTCCTTCTTCCTCCCTCCTTCTTCCTCCCTCCTCCCTCCTCCCTCCTAGAAACCTAGAAACTGGGGGACCGGGGTAAAAACGCTGTTAACAAAAGAGTCCAGCTGATTAGTTGCTGATGCTCACTCGTGTCTCATGCTGTTAGGACACTCTGACACAGGAAGCTGAAACTTAGAGGAGAAATGAAAAGAGTTCTGTTGAGATTAAATCTGAACTTTTGACACAAGAGCCGAATCAAAAATCCACATATTTGATTCCTTCTCATCCAGAGTCTGAACTCCTCGACGAGGATGTGATGTTTGCTCCAGAACACAAACTGCTGAGCTCGCCGCGGCCTCAGCAGCATGACTCCGAACACCCACATGAATTATTAATGTGACGCATTCATCACTCTTCCGACCGGCCGTCGATAGCCTCCATTATGGCCGGTGTGTATACATTACAGAGTGTATAGTGTGTCTGAAACTTCCCGCATATACGAGCCGCTGTGTGGCGGGAAGAGGAGACGAAGAAGAGAGAGGATAGAGAGAGGAGAGAGAGAGGATAGAGAGAGAGAGAGGATAGAGAGAGGATAGAGGGAGGATAGAGAGAGAGAGAGAGAGAATAGAGAGAGGATAGAGGGAGGATAGCGAGAGGAGAGAGAGGATAGAGAGAGAGAATAGAGGGAGGATAGAGAGAGGAGAGGGAGGATAGAGAGAGAGAGAGAGAGAGAGGATAGAGAGAGGAGAGAGAGGAGAGAGAGGAGAGGAGAGAGGGAGGATAGAGAGAGGAGAGAGAGAGAGGATAGAGAGAGAGGATAGAGAGAGAGGAGAGAGAGGAGAGGAGAGAGAGAGAATAGAGAGAGGATAGAGAGAGAGAGAGAGGATAGAGGGAGGATAGAGAGAGGAGAGGGAGGATAGAGAGAGGAGAGAGAGGATAGAGAGAGAGAATAGAGAGAGAGAGAGGAGAGAGGGAGGATTGCGAGAGGAAAGAGAGAGAGGATAGAGAGAGAGAGAGGAGAGAGAGAGAGGATAGAGAGAGAGAGGAGAGAGAGAGAGAGAATAGAGAGAGGATAGAGGGAGGAGAGAAAGGATAGAGAGAGAGAATAGAGAGAGAGAGAGGATAGAGGGAGGATAGAGAGAGGAGAGGGAGGATAGAGAGAGGAGAGAGAGGATAGAGAGAGAGAGAATAGAGAGAGAGAGAGGATAGAGAGAGGAGAGGAGAGAGAGGAGAGGATAGAGGGAGGAGAGAGAGAGGAGAGAGAGGAGAGAGAGAGGATGGAGGGAGGATAGAGAGAGAGAGGAGAGAGAGAGGATAGAGAGAGAGGAGAGAGAGAGGAGAGAGAGGAGAGGATAGAGGGAGGATAGAGAGAGAGAGGAGAGCGAGAGAGAGAGAAAGAGGATGGAGGATAGAGAGAGGATGGAGGGAACATGTGATGGACAGGAGTGACAGCAGAAAGCATTAGCTGCAGGATGCAGTCGTGATATCAGAGCTTCACGTCAGACGGAGAGAGACGAGAACAGCCTGACAGGTCATACGACCCGCACGGCCAGAGACGATAAGAGTTTGAAGCTTTCAGACTTTTAGAGGGAAGATTACACATCCAGTACAAAGATCACTTCAGAGGAACTCTGAGTTGTTGGGCTATTTTTTAAAGACGCAGCTCACTCGCCCTCGAGTCTTTTAAGAGAACATGAAGTCTGTTTACAGTTTTCAACCTCCTTCCGTCATATCGAACACAATCTGATGATGATGTTTTACAAGTTACTAAAACCTTCAAGGTGGAGTCAGGAGTTATGTCAACACAACATTCAAACTAGGCCCCTCCTCCGGGGTTTGAAGATGGTGGCAACAGTAAACAAAGGGCAACAATGGAGGACGTCCAGCAGAGGTCTGCACCTCCGAGGTCGTCCATGAGGCGGAGCTACACGCTGACAAAAAACAAAAACAACTTTGAAATCAACAGGATACTGAAACATGCCCCATTTTGTGTTTGTCCTTCAATATCCTGCTGTTGCCCAGGAAGTGACGATTCTTTTGACCAATCAGAAGACTGCAGGGTGTCTAGCTCCGCCCTTTAGGGTCCGATCAGGATGCTTTGCACCCTAACAAAAAGGAATGTACGGATCAGTTGTTTTGGAAACACCGATAAACGAGTACCAAACGGAACTGGAGCGTTTGGTGTAAACGTTGGCTCTCAGTCTCTGTGCCTCGTAGCTTTCAGGTGACGCAGGTGCTGTGTGGTGGGAATCTGCCCGTATGCCATATGATATGGATCCAGAAGAAAGCTCTGTGATTAGTATTTCTTAATGGTTCCAGCTGTTTTCCTGACACGCCGCTGCAGGATCTTCATCACCTTTATTTTGATTGTTTTTATTTTTTAATTTCTGTCAGGCGAGACTAAAACAACACGTGTGATTAAGTATGAAAGGAAGAACTAAAGCTGCTGATGAAAGGGTTAACTGGTCATTAAACAGAGCGAGACGATAATGAGGCGCTGCCTGATAGGCGGTCATGGCGACTGACGAGCTAACGTTACGTGAACTCTGATTATTTGGGTTAGCTTCAACGAGCTTGTTTATTTCCTCTCGTTAAGCTGTAGTCTCTGAACTCTTAAAGTAAATGTGGAGCGGATGAATGTGTAAGCGGGAGCTGATCACAGCGAGCCAAGCGGTGACGCACTGACAGCTTTAACGGCTCACCACCAGATGAAGTCACGCCGCCTCGCTACGCTAATGAGAAGCTAATGGACGGTGGAGCTGATGAGCGCCAAGTCGGCCTCTGGAGAAAACACCAGGGGCAAGGGACCATCACTTTGAACCTCACACACACACACGCACGCACACACACACACACTTAAACACAGACACACACACACTTAAACACAGACACGCACACACACTTAAACACACACACACAGTTATGCAGATACACTTCATGCATTTGCTAACTCACATACGTCAAAGTTAAACAAAGGAGACAAAACTTAACACCTGCTTAGTTTTAAAATCAGCTTTACACTGAACACACACACACACGTCCACTTTCACACATGAACTAAAAAAAACTTTGCAGTCTGAAATCTTCCCTGAGTTGACCCTCACAGCAGGAGACTCTCCCTGTCGGACATGAGGGGGGGTCTCAGGTCTCAGGAGTCAGGTCATGACTAAAGAGAACGAGGAGGAAGTAACAGACTCAGATACTTTGAATGAGTAAATTACTTTCATAATGACGCTCTGTGAAGTTCAACATATTTAAAATATCGACAAAAGAGCAGAAGCAGTTTCATCACGTGGGTCATGTGCAGACAGTCTATGGTCGTGCAGATATAAATGTCATCCCTCCTCCTGCTCGTGACTCAAGGTGAAACATTCATCTGTTTGCAGATATTTCAGGAAGATTCAAGAGTTCAGTGAAAGTGTGAAAGCTCCATTTTAACAGAGAGCGAGACGAGGTCTAACTCAGGTCGAGGGGTACAAGCGCGACTGTAACACATTATGTGTGAGTGTGTGAGTGTGTGAGTGTGTGTGTGTGTGTGTGTGTGTGTGTGTGTGTGTGTGTGTGTGTGTGTGTGTGTGTGTGTGTGTGTGTGAGTGAGACTGACCTGGCTGTAGGTAGCGTCCAGCAGTGTGTCCAGATTCTGCAGAGGTGCCGGGGTTTTGTCTTTGAATCGAGTCAGCAGGCGGCGCTGGATGGCTCTGAACTGGACCGCCCGCTCTGACAGCAGGTCCTGGTACTGCTGAGCACCGACACGCAGCTAACACACACACAAACACACACACACACACACGGGGCAGAGATGAAACAGCAGCAGATGTCGGTCTCAGACTTCTCTTTTAAACCAGAACGTGTTGGTGTGTTGTGTTCGAGCTCGCCGCCTGGTATCTTTTACCTGGAAGTGCTGGTCTACAGACAGGAAGTAGTCCTGCAGCGGGAGCGGCCCACTGAAGCTTTTCTTAAAGTCTTTGACTCCCAGTTTGTGGAAATGTTTGTCAAATCTCTGGACCAGCTCCTTCACCACCAACCAGATGTCCTCAAAAGTGTCGCTCTGAAGACGGTAACGCTCTGACGGAAACAACCAGGAAACACACGAGATAGTGAGAGACATTAAAACACAACACACCAAGAAAACACAAAGACGGCTTAGGAACCATCTGTCATAATGGTTAAAGAAAAGGCCAGCAGTAGTAGTTAGATCAGTAACACACACGTTGTGTTATTATGAGAGATGGGCCGATCGTGATTTTCTGTTTGTGCGACTCACGGGAAGTCTTAGAGGCCAGAACGGTGACTTTGGCTCCTGACAGGAACTGGAAAGCCAAACCGTTAGCATCCTTATCTTCAGATTTTGCTGCAAACTCTGCAGAGAGAGAGAGAGAGAGAGAGAGAGAGAGAGAGAGGCAGAGAGACAGAGAGAGAGGCAGAGAGACAGAGAGAGAGAGAGAGAGGCAGAGAGACAGAGAGAGAGAGAGAGAGAGAGAGGCAGAGAGACAGAGAGAGAGAGAGGGAGAGAGAGGGAGACAGAGAGACAGAGAGAGAGAGAGAGAGAGAGAGAGAGAGAGGGGGAGAGACAGAGAGAGGGAGAGCGAGACAGAGAGAGAGGGAGAGAGGGAGAGAGGGAGAGAGACAGAGAGAGAGGGAGAGAGGGAGAGACAGAGAGAGAGGGAGAGGGAGAGGAGGGGGAGAGACAGAGAGAGGGAGAGCGAGACAGAGAGAGAGGGAGAGGGAGAGAGGGAGAGAGGGAGAGAGACAGAGAGAGAGGGAGAGAGGGAGAGAGGGAGAGACAGAGAGAGAGGGAGAGGGAGAGAGACAGAGAGATTTGTGATGAGACAGATTGGACTGACTATCATGATGCAAGACGCCAACAAAGGAGAACAAGATACAGTCGCATGGTTCACAAAGACACAATGAATAGCCGGCAGGAGATTTCACAAATCCCAAAACACACACTCAGTACGACCAGAGTGTGTGTTTGTGTGTTTAGACGTCGGAGCTGCTGATTGTAGCCGATTATGAGATAACTGAGAAACAGAGAGGAGACACACACACACACACACACACACACACACACACACACACACACACACACACACACACACACACACACACACACACACACACACACACACACACACACACACACACACACACACACACACACACACACACACACACACACACACACACACACACACACACACACACACACACACACACACACACACTCTCTCTCTGCCACTCAACACTCACCTGTCAGCTCGGAGCTCAGAGTGTGTTCTGGTACCTCTTTCTGATTTAAGCATTAGAGCTCTGTAAGTGTGTGTGTGTGTGTGTGTGTGTGTGTGTAAATTACCTGGGAAGATGGAGCTGAGCTCAATCGGAGGCTGGTTGGTATCCACAGTGATCTTAAATTTGGTGTTTTTGGCCGGAGATGAAGGAACACACACCAACGCCAGAGGAAGACTGAACCTGGTCTGATGAACCCGAGGAACTCCTGACAAACAGAAAATACTTCAAAACTTAAAAATGTATTTACGACCTGTTTTACGCTTAGTTTTTGTGCCTCATGTTCTAAATCCTTTCTCTCTTTTCTTGCAGAGCGACTGAGCAGCAGCAGCAGCTTGACCTCCTCTGCAAAGGGTAACTGTTAGGTAATAACTTCTACATTATCTGGATCTACTTTAACAGCACAGACTGTGAATAAGAAGGAGACGTAGCCACCACCATGTCAACCAGTGGGTTGAGAAAACATTTTTTGAAGCCCCGGGGTTGAAAACTTGGAGCAGGAGGGTGCAGCTCTGTTGAAGCAGTGGTGTCGCCCCCTACTGGACGTTTTTAATATGCAGGTTCTAGCACTTTCACTTCACTTTTAAAACCTGGGATTACTTACACAGAGAAGATGAACGACGCATATAAACGTTTGTTATTGCTCCTCCTGAACAGCCTCTACTGATGGCTCAGATCTTACAGCTAACCCTACGATCACTCATGATAATGCTCTCAGCCACTGTCATTCTTTAACTTCTTTTCCTGAAGATCTACCTCTAAGTCTCTCCTCACTTCCCCCTTTAACTTGCGTCTTTGTCCGCCAAGCTCCCCTACACCGAATCAAACAAGGTCAGCACATCGTTTTTTGTTTTTCTTCAGGCTTTCTCTCCAAACAGCAGTCAGGTCAACATTTGTTAACACAGTCAACAGATATTCAGATTACACGAGTATCTGAGAGCTACATCGACACTAGAGACCCAACATCAACAACCAGTCTGGAGAGGTGTTTGTGGAAGAGAAAAGGAAGTTTTTGTGCAAAGTCCGGGAGGAAATTTAGAGAGGAGAGAGAGAGAGGGGTGACGAGAGAGAGAGAGAGAGAAAGAGGAGGAGGAGGAGAAAGAGAGGAGAGGGAGAGAGAGAGGAGGAGAGCGAGAGAGGGAGGAGGAGAGAGAGAGGGGGGAGACAGCGAGAGAGAGAGGGGGGAGACAGCAAGAGAGAGAGGGAGGAGGAGAGAGAGAAGACAGAGGTGGGGGGGAGGACAGAGAGAGAGAGAGAGAGAGAGAGAGAGAGAAGAGAGAGAGAGAGAGAGAGAGAGAGAGAGAGAGAGGAGGAGGAGAGAGAACGCCAACTCAAACTATGTCCTGAGCTTAAGCAGTTGCTGAGCTTGGCAGAAATCTACACTTAGCTAGAATAACAGAGCGAGGGAAAGAAGTGATGGAGGAAAACAGTTGTTAAGACGAGATGGAGCGAGGGAACCAGGAGAGCTAAGGACAGGAGAGGGGAAGACCGGAGGGTGGGGGTGGGGGTGGGCAGAGAAACGAGTGGAAATAAACCGGCGTGAGAGAAAGAGTGGAAGAGAAAATAACAGAAGGTGGGAGGGAGGGAATGTTCCAGGTTCTTACAGATATTAATAATTACCCACAACTACCGTGCACCTTTCTATTCCATACGTGCAATTATTGTATAATTATGTGAATAATTCAATTTGCTTTGAATACATGAAGGGAGGCAGAGAAGACGGCGGGCCAATGAAAACAGAGAATCAGAACAAAGGTCCACTTTCAGTCTGAAACGCCTTCTATCTGGATGTGTTTAAACATGAAGACAACGTGCAGCAGAGCGGGAGCTTTACACACAATATGTCTGAATGTAGACCCCTCTGCACACAGCGCTTTATGGTTCTTAGAATAAGGGCGCTTTCACATTAGCCACGAGTGTTTCGTACCGTCCCCCACTGGACTGCGTTCACATCAGTATCATCGTTCATACTCCAGTACACAGTCTGATGCAGCAGGGGCGGTATGCACATAGTTGGTTTGCAAATCCACAAAAAGCAGAAAGAAGAAGAAGTGGCAACCACTTGCAGAAGAAGTAACATGGCAACCACTTGCAGACAGAGTCCTTCCTGATAAACTGTGGATGTTTATGTTATTTCCTGAGACGCCAACAACGACCCTGTTCCTATATGTCCACACCCACAGAGCAGGTCAAAGGAGGAAACGTGGCCGTGCTGCACGGCTACAACGTTTCTTGAAGCGACAGGAGACGTTTAGATTTACCTTATGTGGCGGTCCACTTCCTTGTTTGAGCGCGGTTGTGTTCACATCTACACATGTATGTATGATAACATCCATCCATTCACTTATTATCTATGCCGCTTTTCCAGTTCGGGGGCGCTTGGAGCCGATCCCAGCTGTCATTGGTTGAGAGGCGGGGTTACACCCTGGACTATTCACCAGCCAATCACAGGGCTGACATATAGAGACCGACAACCAGCCACACTCACATTCACACCTACGGACAATTTAGAGTCAGCAGTTAACCTAACGAGCATGTCTTTGGACTGTGGGAGGAAGACGGAGTACCCGGAGAGAACCCACACATGCACCGAGAGAACATGCAGACTCCTCACAGAGAGAGTCCTGTCAGATGGGGATTCAAACCAGGAACCTCCTCGCTGTGAGGGGACAGAGATAACCACTGCCGCACCTTGCAGCCCGTTTGATGATATGGAAACCTTAAAAATGTCTCTGTATAATAATAATAATAATAATAATAAATATATATATATATATATATATATATATATATATATGTGTGTGTGTGTGTATAATAATCTCTGTATGGTTGGAGACAGACCGACCCTGAGCATACTCGGCTTGTTTTCTACATATCACACATTTTTTGGGTTTGTGACGTTGTGAGCCGCCCCACCACGGCATTTAAAAGTCACTCTGAATGTAATCGAGGCAGACGTGATGTACACTGTGATGGATTGCCCAACTCAGGCAGGTTTCAAGTCGCTCCAACTTCAATTTCACAACATACATGAAATGAATGAAGAGCTGGCTGCGTTAGAGGACGGAAAAACACATTAAAAATCAAAACAGTGCGGTGTGCTTTGGAAAACGGTTGAGTGTGGACGATGTTTAGTGAACGGAGAGCAGCAGGAACCGTTCATTAAAAGACTCGGAGGTTTACTTTGTGCAGATCTGACTGAGCTCACACGACGTATTAACGAGATAAAGGAGATTAAATAATATAAACGTATTAAATACTGTATCATAGACGAGACATTCAGAGAAGAAAAGTGAAATGAGAGGAAGGGAGAGGAGGTCATGGAAGGTCGGAAAAAGCTGGGGGAATTATTTTCCTTCTTAAATTCAGCATCGCCATTAACAAGTCACCACTGTGTGTGTGTGTGTGTGTGTGTGTGTGTGTGGTTGTAAATCTCGTCTTGTTCACTCAACCTCTGTAAATTCCCAACTGCATTCAGCAGGTTTCACCCTGAACACAGACGTCTACCTGCACAGCCAATGTGGGTTAGGGTTAGGGTACACACAGTGGTGTGTGTGTCTGTACATTATGTGTGTGTGTGTGTGTGTGTGTGTGTGTGGTGGTTAAGAATTTATTGTGGTTTTTTTTCTGTATCAAGTTAAAAATATCACAAAGACTAACTCTCACGAGTCTCTAGCCCTATTCAGACCCCCGATTCAAGCAGTGATATTAACGCCCTTGTGACATTTCCCTGACAATGAAGGCATTTGTTTGCAGCATATTTTGGCTTCAATCTTGTACAGCAGGAGGAGGAGGAGGCATATAGTCCATCTTTATACAGTATGATAATGTGAGGGACGATAAGACGCGGTGAGGACTACTTCCTATACAGAGTACGAAACTAAACAAGTTGTCTTTGCTGAGCACTGAGGTCACTGTGTTTGTCTTACAGATTCTTCTCTTCATTCACTGTTTGTCAGGACATTCATTTTGGGGAGGGGGGTTGTTGTTAGTGTAGCTGTACCTGAATCCATGGATACTGTGACATGTGAACTCAGACATGACCCCAAGAGCTTCTTTGCTCGACTGCTGATGTAAGAAATTAAACTTTGTCGACTGTTCAACCCACTTAGAGTCACAAGTGAGCACCGCTGCCGCTATGACTGTACGGCCGCCTCAGAGGAACCTGATTCCAATTATGTGTGTGTGTGTGTGTGTGTGTGTGTGTGTGTGTGTGAGTGTGTGTGAGTGTGAGAGAGAGAGAGAGAAAGAGAGGGAGGGAGAGAGGGAGAGACCACAGTTTATTTGAGTAGAGGACCACTGTACAGGATCAGGTTTTTACCGCAGCTGCAGTGATGTCAGACGTTTGTGTGTACGAATGAAAGAGCGGATATTTTAAAAGATGTGTGTGTGTGTGTGTGTGTGTGTAGGTGGGTGTGTGTATGTCTGTGTGTGTGTATGTGTGTGGATACTGCACGCTACACACTCATTCCCCTCTTCCTGTGTGTGTGTGTGTGTGTGTGTGTGTGTGTGTGTGTGTGTGTGTGTGTGTGTGTGTGTGTGTGTGTGTGTGGATACTGCACGCTACACACTCATTCCCCCTCTTCCCTGTGTGTGTGTGTGTGTGTGTGTGTGTGTGTGTGTGTGGATACTGCACGCTACACACTCATTCCCCTCTTCCTGTGTGTCTGTGTGTGTGTGTATGTGTGTGTGTGTGTGTGTGTGTGTGTGTGTGTGTGTGTGTGGATACTGCACGCTACACACACATTCCCATCTTCCCTGTGTGTCTGTGTGCGTATGTCTGTGTGTGTGTGTATGTGTGTGTGCGTGTGGATACTGCACGCTACACACACATTCCCCCTCTTCCCTGTGTGTCTGTGTGTATGTCTGTGTGTATGTCTGTGTGTGTGTGTGTATGTCTGTGTGTGTGTGTGTGTGTGTGTGGATACTGCACGCTACACACACATTCCCCCTCTTCCCTGTGTGTCTCTCTCTGATCGTTTCCCTTCTGATACTCGCCGTCACAGCACCGCCCGGTCTTCAACAAATCACATTCGGCGTGTTTTTCTTCCACTTTAGTGATTTACGTTCTGTGTCCGCGCTCCGAGCCAGAAAGTCCAGGTGTGGATTTCTGCATGACTGATAAAGGATAAATGTTATTCTTTGACGCAAGAGGACCGAGGTTCACGTCTGCGCCCGATCATTCATTAGTAATCTGACGTTTCTCTC